GAAGGAAGGAAGGAAGGAAGGAAGGAAGGAAGGAAGGAAGGAAGGAAGGAAGGAAAGAAGCTGAAGAGAAGGAATTTGAATTCTAAAAATAATTTACTTTTTTACAGAAAGCACTTAGCTTTGAACCCTCACAGATAAGACTGTAAACATGGAAAGCTGTAGAGATAGGTCACAAGGAATTGATTATTAAGAGAATGGCTCTATTATTTATTATTTATTTTTCCTTACAGATCCAGTTTCCATCAGAGGATCTCACTTGTCACCAAAATAGAGAGAGAAAACTATCATGCCTCTTTTCTTCATTGTATTTTTTTATTATTATTATTCTTTTTGAGGCAAGGACTTGCTTTGTAGCCCAGGCTAGCCTTAAACTCACAGTTCTCCTACCAGAGTCTCCAGAATGCTAGGGTTACAGGTGTGAGCCACCACGCCCAGCTAGAAATCTGTGTGTTTTACTCAGAAACATAAAAGCTGGATCTGGCACAGAGTCAGGAAGGTAAGTGCCTTGAGGATGTTTTGAGCCAGAGCAGAAACCTACCATTCTAGTCTTGGCCTCTCAACCAGGTGGAGACCAGTTGGCACATGATTGGCACACATTCAACAATGTGCTTTCACTTTTCTCACTCTAAAAGCAAGAATTGCAAGGTTCAGTTCAAATCCTGATTTAACTAGTCAGCCACATCTCAGGCCAGTCAGTAGGGACAGGAGGAATAAGCTAATATGAAGCTTGAATTCTGGGAGGCAAAGGCCCTGGACCTGGCAACGGTTGTCTCTAGGAAATGGCTCTGTGATGGGGTCCTGACCTGCTTGCACCCTGTGGCTACTTCTGTCCAGTGCTGGGCAGGCTATTTTCTTCTAACTCTTCAAACAGCCAGGTAGAATCTTAGTCTACAGAAATCCCAGCAAATACTCCTGGGAGGTTGGGGGGAGACGGACAACGACCTCTGCAGGGAGCTAGAGACAGATGCTGCTGGCTCCTCTCTACACAACACACCATCAGAGTAAGCCCACCCAAGAGAAAACTAATTACGGATACCCACTCCTGCAAGTAGAGGTGGGCTAAGGACCTGATGTTTCTCTAAGAATTGTCAAGAGGGGATCTAGCAAGACTTGCCCCAATGAGGTGGGGGACTGATCTTTCTGTAGCAGTAGATGGAATTGGGTAGGATAGGCCAGGCTAGTTAGTTACTGGGATTCCCAGAGTCCTAGAATCTTTGTTTAAGATGATCCCAGCAAACACCACTAGGTGAGGAAAATGTCCAGGGAACAGAGGTGGTCAGCACTGGGCTTCCTTCCCCCGGCCTATGGAAGCCTTCTCTGAAAAGCCCAGATCCTGAAGGCAACTAACAAAGACACAGGAAGGTCATGCTTCCATCCTGTGCTGTAGTTGGAGATGAAGGAGCCCATGGCCATAGAGACCCACTGGCCACTGCTTCTGGAAGGCCTGACTGCTATCACCAAAGATGAACTCCTTTCCCTGGTACATTAATTAAACTCCCTTTTGTTGTAAATAGCAACTTGACAAAACCTCAACCCTAATTAAACCTAGTCCTCTGTCCTTCATGCAGACGTAGGAGATAGTCAACTGATTATTCTGCCTTCCCCTCACAAGTGCTAGGATTACAGGCACATACCACTGTGCATGGTTTATGCAGTGCTAGAGATCAAACCCAGGACCCTGAGCATTCTAGACAATCACTTTACCCACAGAGATGCTCTCTAGCCCCAAACTAAATACAAATTAAAAATACATGATGATGGACTCAGGTGAACCCCTGTGCTCCTAGGAACTAAATCATCTTATATTCCCCACGTGGCTATCCATTGTTCTCAGACCTACACCTCCTCTCTGTCTCTAAGATCCTCTGCCCACAGCATCTCTCTAATAACTACCCACTACCCTGTCCTGAGGCATTGACTGCTTTGACAATGCTGAACAGATGCCTGTTCTAGAAACCAAAGTAAATTAACTCAACCATCATGGATTCTTTTGTTCATGGCTGCTTTTATTCAACCTGTTTTTAAAGGTTTATTTATTTATGTATATGTGTATATATGTATGCGTGCTCTATCTGCATATATATGAGGGAGAGAGAAAGAGCTCTGTCTGCATGTATGCCTGCATACCAAAGGAGGACACCTAGATGTCATTATAGATGGTTGTGAGCCACCATGTGGTTGCTGGGAATTAAACTCAAGACCTCTGGAAGAGCAGGCAGTGCTCTTAACCGCTGAGCTGTCTCTCCAGCCCCTCAGCATAATGTTTTGAATTTACATCTCAATCCTATGCGGCAATTTTTCTCTTATTTCTGAGTGTGCCACAATGTATTT